GTAACTTTTTAATTATGAATTTATACACTCACATATACATATTTCTATAAATTTGAATATATATATATATATATATTAATATTTTGTTCAAATTTATCTATATGAAATGCCGTTTAAAAATATGTATGTATAGTCACCTGAGGCTTATAAAACTATTACATGTCTCCTAAGAAGACTCGTTTTTCTTTATTTGATTTTCAGTTTTGTCAAAGCACGTGCTTGATGACTAAGACCAGTCATTATCAATAAATCAAGAAATTTGAATTGACTTGATGTGTTGATTATATTACTTTCTATAATTGGTCAGAAGCGACCAGTTAAAAAAAAAAAGGGCATGGATGATAAAAGATGAAAGGTTCATTGTACATAGTTTATTCAAAAAAGTAGGTCAATGAATGACAACGGTTGAAAAATGAGAGACAAAACTTACCCAAGAAGTTAGAATCTTCAAATTCACCTCTAAACCATTGAAAATCGCGCTCTAGCAAGTGGGGGTGGGGAGTCCTAACTTCTTTTTCTCCTTTCCTTTTCCTTTTCGTGTATAAAACTATCATATAATATTAGGTTAATTGAAAGTTTAGGTAACTAATTATATGACATTGATCAGCAGTAGATATCTCCCTTTCTTTTGATTTAAATATTGATAACCCAAAATATTAGGTTAATTGAAAGTTTAGGGTACCAATTGTTCTTTAAAAAAACTTCCAAGAAAAAAATTCTCTTTAATCCCATTAAAAATTGTTATTTTAATGGGGAACATAAATCAAACATTACTATATAGCAATATTGCACCATTTTTTAAAACTTTTAGGAAAATATTTGTGCTAATCAGTTAAAAATACGAATTACATCTAATGAAAAATTTCCAAGACAAATTTCTCATTTAATCTTATTTTTTTCCAACAAATGTAATGACTTCTTTTTGGTTTTAATTTACCTACGACTCTAAAAGGTCCCATTTTTTCTTTTCGATGAAATAACAGGTCCCATTTTTATTATAGGTGGTTCTAAAACGATACGGATAAATATAGATGCACAAGTACAGAATGTATATCATACCTATCAATTACTCATCTCTCTAGTATTATCAGGCAGGGAATATATCTGGTTGAATGGTTCAAATTTCATTAATTTACTATTATTATAACTACTATTACTTCTTTTAAAAAAAGTTTTAAAATTTATGTATTTGTAATTGTTTACTAATGAATGGCTGAGATATTGAACAAATTTGCTGTGAAGCCTGGGTCAGTAAAAGCTGAGGATATGGATAATACAATTAACCATTGTGAGGAGTCAGGGATTAAAGGAGAAGAGAAGTAGTGTGCCACGTCATTGGAATCCATGGTTGAATTTATCACTTCCAAGCTTGGGAGACACGTGGAAACTTTGTCTACGTAAGCGGACAGCGGTGAAGGGAACAAAGAAACAAGAGTACACAATAATGCATGGAGTGAAGAAGGTGGGGAGAGACAGAAGTGGTGGTGTGCCACAATCTCAGTTACGTGTTTTATGCTGTGTTTTATTCAATGTTTTAAAACCCGGACCGGACAGTGAACCGGAAATATCAATGGGTCACGGGTCTCATGGTTCAACCGGTCAGACCAGCGGTTGGACCGGTGACCTAATAATTAAATAAAAAATTATATATATATATATATATATATAAGAAACAAGTTAACAAATACAACACTAGATTCTTGAATGCATCAGGATTTAGGCATAATCATTTGAAAAAAATAAAACTTCTATTTGCAATAAACAACTCTTGGACAATAAAAAATAGATTCATCTTCATCCATTCAACAATCCTTCATTTTGCAATAAACAGCTCAGATAATAAAAAGCAAGCTCATCTATTAGCATTCATTCTACTCCATTTAGAACCATAGAGATTACATTAAATTGGGTAGAGATATAAATGAGGCAGAAAGAAAATCTCATCAGGATTGAGAGAGAGAGAGAGAGAGAGAGCAATCAACAAAGAAGATGAAGAATCATGAAAGGGGTCGAGCTTGACACCATCTGACTGTTTTCAACAACTGGATGCCTATACTAGAATTAACCAAGAACACGAAGTCACAAACCAAAATGAAGAAAGTGAAGTGAAGATGAAGAATAAAGAAGCATTTGAAGTTTGAGAGAGTTTGAGATGGCTAAAGTTAAATGGTGAAGACAACGAAGGGTGAACATAGAACCCAAATGGTTGAGAAGGCGAGTCCAAGATGGCTGAACGGTGAAGACAGAGCCCAAAAGGTTGAGTGGCTTGAGGGAGATGACACAGAGAACAAAACCCAGATGGCTAAGATTTGAGAAGCTGACGAGAATGACTGCGTGCATTGTGCGAGACAGAGAGAAGTGAGACTAAAAAGAAGAAGAATGGGTCCTTATAGGTGTTGGTCTGCTAGACAAAGTGAGGAGAAGGGTTTTTTATTTTTAAAAATACCAATTTTGTCATTTTTTTAGACCCACTGTTGACCCGTAAAACCAGCTCGGGGTTCCGGGTTTTTCCCGGGTCTTTAAAAACCATCCGGTTCTAGGTGGGCCAACCCGGGCCAACTACTAATCCGGGTTAATTGGTTGAACCAGCCCGTTTTCTTCAGCGGACGACGGTTCGACCGGTCCGATTGTCCGGGTCAGTCCGGGTCTTAAAACCTTGGTTTTATTGTCACAAAATAGAGAATATAGTTGCCCATATGGTGTCGTTGAAGGGGGATGATAGGAGCAGAGTAAAAGTTGCAAGCTTATGTCACAGAGACAACTCAAAATAGAATCCAAAACGTTTGTGCTTCCAAATGCTAAAAGTCAAGCCAGGGATTGTTCCTATTCGCCACTTCCTTTTTCAAGACACCATTGCATGGGTTCCAAGTTTCAACACAAACTAGGTGATTCCACATTCTTTCTCTAGTTTTATTTATAAACCATATCAATAAATTTTTTTTATACTTTTTTTCTTTTACCCTTTTTTAAATGTTAAAAAGAGAAAATGTATTTTTAAAGTACATATTTTCAATAAAAGTAATATTGAGGATTTATTAAAGTTTTAAATAGAGTAAATGAGTTATATGATTTTTCTCAGTTTCTGTAAAACTTATTAGAAGTAATTTATAAATAGAATTAAAAAGTATTAGATGGTATGGGGGGAAAGAGATATAGAGAATTTGAAGAAGGCATGTCTTGTTTGAGTGTCAATTAAATAAGCTTTATGTTTCTCATTTTCTCTCTGTTTTTTTTTTTGGTAAAATTTTTAACCCTAATCCAGTCCTTCCTCAAAATCTTCCAAATAAAAAAAAAAACAGAAACACAGAGAGACAGAGAGGTGGCATTGCTACTAGGATAAATAAATTTTTGTGTGTTTTATTTTCTCTTACTTGCCTTAACCTAAAAGAGCGAAAAGAACATCATGTTTGGCTTTTGGCATGTAATTTCGATCTTCTGTAGGCACAAATTTGATTCACTATAATGTGTTAAAAAAAATAGAAATAAAAACAGGGTTAAATTGTACATTTAATCATTTAACTTTATACATGCAAGGTTACCTCTACTAAAAGATTGAGTTTTCCGTCAGTGAATGGATACTCTTGTGAGGAGAGCTTACATGAGTGCTTTCCATCAGAAATGCTCCTTGCATGTGGCCTGCGGGATATTGCAATTTTATTCTTAATTTTATTAAAGCCAATCAGATTGCTTCCATGTGAAACGCTCCTATAGGTCTTTCATTTTTTTTAATTTTATAAAATATCTGTTTAGTCTCTTAACCTTAACATTATTAGTTTCATTATAAATATTAACAAAACTTTTTCAAATGCTAATATATTAATTTTAATTTTTTTTAAAAAAATAACAATGATTGGTGACAAAAATAATTATTTGAAACTAATGATGTTTGTTTAGAGAACTAAAAAGATATTTTATAAAATTAAAAGACTATATTAAAATATTATGTAAAATTAGAGAATCAAAAGTATACTTTATTATAAGAGTATGTATTTGTACAACTTAGTCAAAAAATTATGGCTCAAAATATCTTGTAGTGGTGGAGAAAATAATAGAAAAATTTGCCAATGATCATCAATAAACAACTAAATATTCACACCCAAATAGTTAAGGTACACTGATCATCACCCTAAAAAGGTTGGCCTAATTCATCCTCAAGTATTTAAAAATGGTGTAAGGTCACCTCTATTAGAAAGACCGTGGGTTTAACATTAGTGAGTGGGGAAAATTACATATAAGAAATTAAGACCAATTCAGCCCTTAAAATTACACAATTATGTTATACTAAAAGGTTTCATTGTTGATAAAATACAATAGTATTGTGTAATCCATATAAATGACCCATCTAGTAAGATAAGGTTTATTGTTATTATCTCTCTTATCATGTGGGGAAATATCTTGTTGAATGGTTAATATTTTACTTATTATTATTATTATTATATTTAATTTATTACTTTTTTTAAAAAAAATTGTCCATTCATATTTGATCTTTGCATGCTATTGCTACCCACACATACCATGTATATTTCCAAGGAAAAATGACAAAGAAGTCCCAAAAGGACCAATTAATTAAAATTAAGTCCCAAATGCCAAACTCCAGAAATTTGTAGCTCAATCTTTCAATTTTGTAACTGCATTGTGATGAATTTATAACTTGTTTTTTCAAATTTTAATATGGTTGAAGAATAAAAAAAATTATTTTTTCTGTTAAAATTTGAAACATAAGTAGCAAATTCATTACAATTGAATTGTAAAATTGAGAGATTGAGTTGTAAATTTTTGATATTTAACACTAAGGACCTAACTTAAATTAATTCGTCCTTTTAGAATCTCTTTGTCAGTCTCCCTAATCCCAATCGATTGACATCCAAGTCTGGGTCCCATATCTCTTATCGAGAATATTTTATTAGCACTAATTCTCCCTCTTTCTATGATTCCTATAAGTTCCTCATTAATATCTTAAACTGATAATTATTTGCAGCTTCAATACATAGTTTCTCCAACGATGAAGTATCCACTCCAACCCATCGTTTCTTTTCTTTTAGTGAGTTCGCTTTCTTTTCTTTTTCTTTTTTTCCTTCTTTTCACTTGTTCCTTCTCCAATGAATCTAATGCTAATGAATATTTATATTTTTACATATTTTATTGAATAAATGAAATATTGAAATTGCAGGTTGTATTATTGGTGGCAACGCATGCTGCCTTATCTCCTGAGCTTTACTGGAAGTCCATGCTTCCCACTACTCCCATGCCTAAATCTATCACAGATCTCCTCCACCCAGCTGGTTAGATTGTATTCTTCATTAGTATGTTTCTTAAAATTTCAATCTTCACTTCACAAACGGTACTCCCTCCGTTTCAAAATTGTTTGTCTTTTGAGATATTTGCACACAGATTAATTAGAAATGAACAATGCCAAAGTTGCCCCTAAAGCATGCATGACCAATAGTCCCTCTGTTTTCATATATAGTCAATGCCAGGTCAGGTCACAGCATCACCATCCGCGGCGAGATCGAAATAGGCGATGGAGGACATCATTGCCAATTAGAGTTTTGTTATGCTGACTCTGAGACCAAAGTCCAAGGTAACCCCAATACAGCTCTCTTCTTCTTGGAAAAGGATTTGAAGGTTGGCCACAGAATGAACTTGGTCTTCAAGAAAACCTCTAACCAAGCATCCTCCTTGCCTCGTGAAGTCGTGAAATCCATTCCCTTTTCCTCAAGCAAAGTACGTAGTGTCAGACTAATTCTACCATGTCTGTGAATGAGTTTATGCATGCATTTAAGTGTTTATGATTCATTAATAACAGATGGCTGAAATATTGAACGAGTTTGCTGTGAAGCCTGGGTCAATAAATGCTGAGCTTATGAAGAATACAATTAAATTTTGTGAGGAGTCAGGAATCAAAGGAGAGGAGAAGTATTGTGCCACGTCATTGGAATCCATGGTTGATTTTATCACTTCCAAGCTTGGGAGACACGTGGAAGCTTTGTCTACAGAAGTGGTGAAGGAAACAAAGAAGCAAGAATACAAGATAATGCATGGAGTGAAGAAGGTGGGAGGGACGAAAGTGCTGGTGTGCCACAAGCTCAATTATGTGTATGCTGTGTTTTACTGTCACAAAATAAAGAACACTGTTACTTATACGGTGTCGTTGAAGGGGGCTGATGGGAGTAGGGTTAAAGACGTGAGTGTATGTCACAGAGACACGTCACAGTGGAACCCAAAACATTTAGCCTTACAAATGCTAAAAGTGAAACCAGGGAGTGTTCCCATATGCCACTTCCTTTTCAAAGACACCTTTGCGCGGGTTTGAACACAAGTTAGGTGATTTTCACATAATAGATGGTTTGTATTGTTTGTGCATCATTTAAATAAGCTTTCTATTTATTATTTTCTCTTACTGGCTGGCCATCACCATAAAAAGAGGAAAAACAATAACATGCACTTTTGCCTTTGGCACGCAATTTAAATCTTCTGCTAGGCATAAATTTGATTATCCAGAATGCGTCGAAATTATTATAAAAGGAAAATTGACGTTTTGCACAAAGAAAAAAAGTGAATCTCATATAAGAGTGTATTTATACAACTTAGCCCCCCCAAAAAAAAAATGATGGCTCAAACTATCTTAAAGTAATGGAGAACGTAATAGAAAAATTTGCCAAAGATCTACCATAAACAACTAAAAATTTGGTATAAATGAAAATATGAATGGAAAATTATGTTTGTACTCCTAACAAAAAAATAATAAAATAAAAAATGATTATGATGGACATTGCATAAGTTAACTACTTCACCATTTCTATATATAATAGAATCTACCACTTTTTTTTTTCCAGATCAGATTGTTGTTTTGTTTTTGTTTATAAGCAAAATCAAATATATCAATAAGCATTTCTTACAATTTTTTTAAATTACCTCTCATAAACTCATAATTTTTCTTCACGAGAAATAATTAATGCAGCCTTGTTTTGATTAAATATAAATATATTTTAATTTAATTTTTTTATTTTTAAACATAACTATTATAGTTAAACAATTTTTTTCAAATTGTATAATACAATTTATATATATATATATATATAGAAATGGAGGGAGTGCCCGTTTGTATGCTTTCATTATTCATATGCCGTCTCTTTCAGGCAACCCAATGTGCTGTTAATGTCATCTTGGACACAGTGACGTGAATGACATGAATGCCAAGACTTTGGCATTTTTATGGAAGTGATAGAGCAAGCAATTACATGAAACTTCGCTTGGTTTCAAAAGGTATGTGCTGTTGATGTCATCTTAGACAAGATGACTTAAAGATTTTATAGGAACTCTGAACAAAAAAATGTTGATAAAATATTCTCATAGAATCTTATCATTTTTATTAACTGAATTCATAGATTTTAATTATGTAATTTTTTTAAGAGTTTATATTTTAATTAATATGTATAGTCACCCAATAAGGCTTATAGAATTATTAAATGTCTGTTAAGAAGACTCATCGTTTTCCTTTATTTGATTTACAATTGTATCGAAGCATGCCTGATGACTACTAAGACTAGTCACTCTATCAATAAGTCAAGAAATTTGAGCTGTCTTATTTCTAAAATCGGTCAGAAGCGAAAAATTTAAATAAGAAATCAATGCAGGGTTGAAGACTGTTTATATGGAGAGTTTGTCCAAATCCAATTTTTCAAAAATAGACGACAATCTAAACAATTGTGTGTGTACCTTTTGTGATACATTTAGATGGAAAAATATTTAGATAGGCCCGATACGTCATGTTATTTATAATCTATTTAATTAAAATATTTTAAATAATTTAAACAAAATATTGTGTAACATTTTTTTAATTGATTTTATTCTTGTAATATAATGTATACTTAATTTTTTATCTTTTCTCTCTTTATTATAATTAATATCATAATTAATTTATATTTAATATTATTTAAATGTCATATTTTTATTGGACAGATTATAAATGATGCACTCGATCTATTAAAGAATTTCTCCATTTAGATGAGTAAGTGTGCCTAATTAAGTAACAGAGAAATACTTAGGTAGACCGAGTGTACCATATCATTTGTGGTCTATCCAATAAAAATATAATATTTAAATGACATTAAATATAAACTAATTTTGACATTAATGATAATAGAGAGAGAAAATATAAGAAATCAAATATGTATTCTGTTATAATAATAAAATTATTTTTAAAAATGTCACACAATATTTTATTTAGATTACTTGAAATATTTTAACTAGACAAACTATAAATGATATGGTACACTTGATTTACTTAAATATTTTCCTTAAGTAACAACTTTCAAAATGGGTCCCCTTTACCCAAAAACAAAAAAAAAAAAAAAATCAACATGGATCCCCGTAAGAAAATTTTAGAGACTAGAGGTGGGATATACATTGAAATATCGACAATATAAGATGTGATGGTGTTCTGCTCAAAAAAAAAAAAAGATGTGATGGTGTAACTAATAATGCAAAGACTTTGTTCAAAAGTAAATAAATTAGCATTATTGATCACATCATAATTGAATGTCTTCCGTTCAAACTTAGTAATTAGTGTTAACAATATTATATGCCAAAAATTTGAATAATCTTATTGACTTCTTGATATTTTTAATAAGACATCCACTTCGTTATTAAAGATTAAAGATTATATTTCTTTTCGTATGTACATCTAAGTACTGCAACAAAAACAAAAATTAGCAAAATAAAGATTCGATGCTAATTCTTAAGGATATAATCCGTTGCTATTAGATGAATAAAATAGAGAAAATTTCTTCTTCTTCTTTATTTTTTTGCCATCAAAATTATTAAAAGTTTATTGTACGTAATTTATTAGAAAAAAAGTTCAATGAATGATCTTTAGTTTTGTCACACACGGAATGAGTCATGAACAATTCTTTTGTAAGTACCTTGATGGTGAATTAATGGATGAAACCTCATTATCAATGTGAAGACCTTATTAGTAGACAATATGTAAATATCTTTATAAGCATTCAATGAACTTAGAGACATGTCCTAATCTTATTGAGCTTTTGAGATCAAGCACACCTAAAATTTTGACTATATATATAAAAAAAAAATTGAGTCATGAACAAGGAGTAGATGAGAATTGTCTTATGAAAAACATTCAAAATAGGTCCCGATTATGCAGTTCATGTAATTCATGAAAGCTGCAGAACATTCATCAATTCAAATGGCATTATCAACAACTCAAAATAACTATATCCAGTACGAAGCATTATTTTAGACACATCCTCAGCGTTCACCCTTATCTAGTGGTATTCAAATCACATATCAGTCTTCGAAATCACCAAAGCTCCCACTACATCCGACTTCAAAGCTTCCCGCCGTCTGGTTGCCCCGTGCTCACATTCTTATCGTCACTTCAAAGGCACTAAAGTTTGAGATTTTTTTTCCCAAAAAAAAAAAGAGGGTTTACAGTTGGTTGAGTAACAGGTGTCATTTGAATCAGAGCATACTTCTAGATTTGAACAAGGCTTGTACATATTGGATGACTCGAACTATAAAGACCCCAGGATAAGCCTCGACCAGTTGAGCCAAATTAAATCACCCCTTAGTAGCTCACAAATACATTTCTAAATTACTCACTAACAAAATCTTCATATTACCAACAATATTAGAATTCACAATATTATGAGTTATGAACCAAATGCTCATAATTACTGATTGGACTATGTTTTGTTGATACTAAAGTTTCAATTTATTACACTCTCACAACATCTGGGAAAAAAAAAAACTACGTCTCGAGTTACTCTTCACATATTTTTCTCAAACTAAGAACTGCAAAAGCTACCAAGAATAGAATTACAGCCGTGCCCACAGAAGAAGGATTAATTGTGAAATGAGAGATAGACTGCGGATCCAATCTTGATGCAGGTATGGTTGATTCTGTGAAGATGCCATATGTGAGGAAACTGGAAAGAAGCTGTCAAGGCCTATATAAATAAAAGTCTCAATTGTGGCCGGCACGCCCATGACACGTGAGCAATCTGGAAAAGTCGCCGGCAAAAGCTAAATTTATTAATTAAAGAGCCGAGTTAATGATGGAGGAGGCAGATCGGTGAGGAGGAGGAGAAGAAGAAGAAGGAACCAAATTAAATGTATGTATAGTATCAAATCATAAGCCTCATATATGTAATAATCTAGTTTGTCACTGGAAAAGAAAGGGGGAGGGGTGAGATCTTAAGGAAATGAGAGTGAAAGTTAGTGCAAAAAGTACACATGGAAGGATGCATGGGGCGGGAAGAGGAGTTGCTTGAAGAAAGGGTCAAGAATATGATGTATGCTGAAGTGTCTGGATGTGTTTAGATTTCAATTAGGTATAATTAATTATGAAAAATTGATTAATATGATTGATTTGAAATATAATTGATTATGTTATATAGTGTATAATTAATTTACAAAATTAATTAATAAGATTGATTTTAATCAGAATTAAAAATATGGTAAAACTATGGTTTTATAAAAATATCTCCAAACATCCATGCTATATGTTAAAATTAATTATGAATCCAAAATCATATTTTTTAAAAAAATATTCAAATACCAATTATATATGTCAAAATCAATTATGAATTCAAAACTATAATTTTTTTTAAATATCCAAATATGCCCCCATGCATGTCAAAATTAATTATAAACCAAAAATCACAATTATCTCATAAGTTATTGTTTCCTGTTGTTCAATTCATTTTTTAAGTATACATTTCTAAAAATTTATTCAAAAATCATATAAATTAGTTCACAAATCATATTTTTTTATAATTGATTTTGGCATAATAAAAGGTGTTTGGATATTTGTAAGGAAACCATGATTTTGGATTTATAATTGATTTTAGCATGTATAATGAGTTTTTATATTTTTTTTAAAAAAATAATTTTGAATTCATAATTAATTTTAACATGTAATATAAGTGTTTGGATAATTTTTGTCAAAACATGATTTTTTAGGAACTTTAAAAAAAATATACAAATCAAATATTCTCATAAAATTGTGAAAAAAATAATAATAAAATTTTTTAAATTTATAAATAATAATCTGATCGTTAAAAATGTAATAATTTTAAAGAAATTTCTTAAAACTTTTTATCAATTAATTTTAAATTAAAAAATTATTTTAATTTTATTGATAATTTATATTTTTTAATTCTTATGATTCTTTAAAAAAATTATAATTCTTTAAACAAGAGTTGAAAATAAGGTTTATTATTTTAAGAATTTATTTTTTAATAATAAAAATTACAATTGATAAATTATTATTTCTTATTTAATTCTTGTGATTTACAAAAAAGTTGTGAATGAGATTTGTTATTTTCAGTAAGAGTAAAATTATCTTTTTACTAAAAAAAGTTATCAACAAAGAGGTTACTAAAAACTTCATTGAAATTATGATATTTTAAAGGATCAAATTATCATTTATATAACTTGAAGGGACTTTATTATCATTTTTCTTAAAATTTTTACAATTTTCACTAAAAAAATTCTTAGATTTTAATTATGTAACTTCTTAATTAGGAGTTTGTACTCTCACACATACATATTTCTATAAAATTTGAATATATATATATATATATATTAATATTTTGTTCAAATTCATCTACATAAAATGACATAAAAATCTATATAAAAATCTGTATGTATAGTCTTCCGAGGCTTATAAAATTATTAAATGTCTCTTAAGAAGACTCGTTTTTCTTTATTTGATTTACAGTTTGTCAAAGCACATGCTTGATGACTAAGACGGGTCATTATCAATAAATCAAGAAATTTGAATTGCCTTGTTATATTGATTTTATTATTTTCAATAATTGGTCAGAAGCGACAAACTAAAAAAAAAAAATTCATTCAACATCCTTGGATGATAAAGGATGAAAGTTTCATTGTAATTGGTTTTTTCAGAAAGTATGTCAATGGATTAGAAAGGTTGAAAAATGAGAGAGAAAGCTTACCCAAATAATTAAAACCTTTAAATTTATCTCTAAACCACTGAAAAATCTTACCTTAGCCTCCCCCCCCCAAAAAAAAAAAATCATAACTCTCTCCTTCTATCTCTTCTTCTTTCTTTTTCCTTTTCCTTTTCGTGCATGAAACTATCACATAATAGCTCCAAGACTTCCTATTCGACATCGGTTGCAAGGTGTTTTTATTCAACAGTAGATGTCTCCCCTTCTTTTGATTTGAATATTAATAATTCATAAATATTACATTAATTGAAATTTTAGGATATCAATTATACCTTAAAAAAATTTATCTTTAGTCCTAATAAAAATTATTCAATTAACAGTCAGCATAAATGAAACATTACTACATAAAAAAAAAAATTAACAATAGTTCACCGTTTTTAAAAACTTTCAAGAAAATATTTGTACTAAATTAAAAATATCAATTGCATCCAACGAAAAATTTTCCAGACAAATTTTTCATTTAATTTTTTTATGCAAACAAATATAATAACTTCTTTTTGGTTTTAATTTTACCTTTACGACCCTAAAGGTGCCCCCCCCTTTTTTTTTGTTGGCTAGAATAAAAGGTCCCAGTTATAGATGCACAAGTACATAATTTGTATCATATCTATCAGGTCCTCAATGGGAATATTGTTTTGTTAAAAAGAAAAAAAAAAAAGGTACCATACCGCGTTGCTAAAAATCGTAATTTTGACAACCTCATCACTCTGGTATTATCACGCGGGGAATATATCTGGTTCAATGGTTCAAATTTTATTTATTTATTATTATTACTATTTCTTTTTTAAAATGTTTCAAAAGTTTACTCTAAACCTAATCCTTTTTCCGGAAAAAAAGAGACGCACACACACACATGCATACAACACATGTCAATACTAAGTTCAAATTTAGGACTTTTTTTAAGAGAGGGGTAGTGTTGTCAACAACTAACTATTGAGTACTTTTTTAAAAAAGTTGACCAGTCATATATGAGCTTCGACTTGCTTTCTTTCTTCTTCTTCTTCTTTTTTTCCCACCTTTTTCTTTTCCAATTAGTCTAATGCAAATGAATATTTGCATATTTACATATTATATATGGATATATAAAAGTGCAGGTTGCATTACTGCTGGCAACGCATGCTGCCTTACCTCCTGAGCTTTACTGGAAGTCCATGTTTCCCACTACTCCCATTCCTAAATCATTGGCACATCTTCTTCCCCTCATGGTTAGTAATCTACTGTTTGTTGGTATTTTTTCTCCTTCGAATTTCGATCTTCACTTGACAAATAATATTGTACAGAAAGTTTTTTTTTTTTCAGATTTGGATCGGTAGTAGCCTAAATCCATTCACTTAATGAGTGTTCTAATTATGACTAATAGATTTCACCAATACATAAATGATTAGAATGCTACTCACATATATTATCCCTTTCAAAAATTTGAAATTTAATACTTTTTGAATATCATATAACAAAATCTCTATCTTGATTAAATCAAACTGTTGTTATCATGTCACGGGGACACTCATTGAGTGAGAAAATTTGTGACACTCACTAAATTGGAATTTGTTTTGCTTTAAGTGCTAATGTTACTATTGCTGGCAATTTAGTCAGGTTATGGCACCACCATCCATGGAGGGACCGAATACAGACTCGAAGATAGATCATGCTTCGACTATTGTTATAAGAACAATGGGAAAAAGCTAGACGATAACGCCAACACAGCTCTTTTCTTCTTGGAGGAGGACTTGAAGGCTGGTCACAAAATGAACTTGCTCTTCAAGCAAGCCTCCAACCAAGCATCCTTTTTGCCTCGTGAAATCGTGAAATCCATTCCCTTTTCTTCAAACAAGGTATGTAGTGTCGGAATCATTCTACCAGGTCTGTGAACAAATAATTCATGTATTTATGATTCATTACCGTTGGAATTTACTGTTCCACCCTTAATGGAAGTCGGGTCATCATGTATGTCATATTAATCAGTAGAGATTTGGCATATTCTGGGTTTATGAGAGATGACCGAAAATCAAGAATTAATGATGAATTAATTCCTGACTGGGTTCAAAACAAGAAGTCTTTCCCCACATTCATTGTTATTGTTCCATCATATTATCCTTTCAATTATGACAATTGGATTTTCCTTTTTTGCAGTGGTCTCCCCACATTATAAATAGATATAGGTGGTCGAAGGAACTCACACCAGAGCACTACTCTCTTAATGTTCATTATTCCTATTTCTCTCTTAGGAGTATCTGCTACGCACCTTAGATAGGATTTTAGTAGCATGATCTTGTGTGGATTGTTGAGTAGACTCTACTTTGCTTGGATGTAGTAAGAATCTGACCCTGCTTCATTTTTTTGATTTCTTATTTATTTGTAATATTCCTTTAATTACTATTAATTATTAATATTAGTGGCGCTGCCCTTTTTTGCCCTCTAGATTTTGCATACTAAACTAACAAACGTACTTTTTCATTTTTGAATATAAGATAAACTATCATGTATTTCTTTTTTTATACAATTACTCATCAATTATGGACCAAGTTAGGTAAGATTACATTGGGAATAAAAGCTCTTTCAATAAGTACTTAATATAGCTGCATTTCTTTGTTTATAAGAAAAATTACAATTTTAAAAAATATTCATCATGTTTTTTAAATTATTCCTTCTAAAGTCAATGCTTATTTTTACTAAACAAGTTTTGTTCCATTAATTACAGGAGTAATTTTATTGAATTTTTTTAATTTCGGACACAATCATTATACTTAATCAATTTTTTTTAAATGTATTAATTAATTATTTTTCTATGTTTAAAAATAGATGGAATATTCCTTTAATTACTGACAGGTGACATGGCTGAAATATTGAACGAGTTTGCTGTGAAGCCTGGGTCAATAAATGCTGAGGTTATGAAGAATACAATTGAACTTTGTGAGGACTCAGGGATTAAAGGAGAGAAGTATTGCGCAACATCTTTAGAATCCTTGGTTGATTTTATTACTTCCAAGCTTGGGAGACACGTGGAAGCTTTGCCTACAGAAGTGGTGATGGAAACAAAGAAGCACGAATACACAATAATACATGGAGTTAAAAAGGTGGGAGTAGAGACAAAAGTGGTGGTGTGCCACAAGCTCGCATGCTGTGTTTTACTGTCACAAAATAGGGAACACAGTCGCCTATACGGTGTCGTTGAAGGGGGCTGATGGGAGCAAAGTGAAAGCTGTAAGTGTATGTCATAGAGACACGTCACAGTGGAATCCAAAACATTTAGCCTTCCAAATGCTAAAAGTCAAGCCAGGGAGTGTTCCTATATGCCACTTTCTTTTTCAAGGCACCATTGCGTGGGTTCGAACACAAATTAGGTGATTTCAAAAATTAGATGGTATGTTGAGAGAGAGTTTGTAGATGGTATGTCTTGCTTGTGTGTCAATTAAATAAGCTTTATATTTCTCATTTTCTCTTGCCGTCAACATAAAAGAGAAAAAATAACAACACGTTGGCCTTTGGCGTGCAATTTGGATCTTCTATTGGCACAACTTTGATTCTCTACAATGTGTTCAAAAAATAATTAGAATAAAAGAAGGCTAAAGTACACATTTAATTCTTTAACTTTATTTAAAATTTTATTTTGACCATTTAATTTTATAAAGTACTATCTTTTTAATCCTTTAACTTTTACACCTTTAATTTGATTACAAAAATTTATATATTGAATTTTTAAATATTGATAAACATTCTCAAGATAGCATATTTAGGTTCATTCTCTTTAAAGAAAAACAATGATGGACACACAAAAATAATCATTTAAAATTAGCAGTATTAAGGTTAAAGGATTAAAAAAATACTTTATAAAATTAAAAAATTAAATTAAGATCTTATATAAAGTTAGAGGATTGAAAACATATTTTACTTTAAAAAGACTTATGTACAAAGAAAGAAAGTGAGTCTCCTACGAAAAATGTAATAACCCAAATTTTTTCTAAATTAACATAAATTAATTTTCTCCTAATTAATATTTTACTCAAGTTAGTTTTATAGTAAGTAGATAGTGGTAGTTTAGAGGAACTTATCTATTATTTTTTTTGAAGGTCCATAATTTGAATTTTACTGAAAAGTGTGGTTTCATTTTGTTTTTAATTATGAGAAAATTTTATGCCTTTTCTTATAATTTTTCCTTGGGGCATTTCTTGTAGTTTTCCCAATTAACTTTTTTTGGTTCAAAATTAGTATGTGTTATGCAAAATAGAGCATCGATCCAGCTCATTTCTTTCCTTCCCTTCACCAACACGAGTGTTCTAGTTCTCCATCGCCATTGCATTCCTCCCCCATTCTTTGCATCTCCGGTGGCCGTAGTGCTGTCTTGCAACACTAGGTTCTCCATCATCCTTCCTATTTTTTGATTATTTTTCATGCTACTACTCTATTCTACCATTCACGATCTAGTCGCTTGTGGTGTGTGCGGAAATCAGTCGCTAGAGCTAGTGACTTTGGTTGTGAGCCCTTTTTTTGTTCACTCGGTCTAGCACTCTAGTGACTTTGCTTCCTTTCTTGTGCATCGAGTTAGGTTTCTCCCTCATCGAGCTGTAATCTCGTCTTCTTCTCTCCCTATTCTATCAGCAGTCACTTGGTCTTTCTTCTCTGTTGTTATTGATTTAGTGAGTAGCTTTAAACTTTTCTTCTTGCTGTTCTGTGCGTGTGTTTGCTGAGATGAATAAGGTTGTGAGTTTTATTTTTCCTTCCCTGTACTGTCATGTATATCGAGTTTGAAGGGATGTTGATTGAAGCTGAAACTATAGAGAACAAGAGGATGATGGTTTAGGTCTAAACTTTATTTGAATTTGATATAATTATCAATGCTAAGAAAAAAATTAGACAAAAAAGTGGTTGGGATTAAGAAGTTTCATTGAATGAGTTAGGAATTGATGCCCATTAAATGTTTGTTAAAAGATCTAAGAGAGGATCTTATTTTTGTTAGATAATTTAGTTTTGGGTCAAGTAATATGAGAAAACTTTGTGATGTAATTGTGGATGTTTAAAAAAAAAATTTAAATTATTTGGATCGACTATGTTGTGGCAAGGTTAGAAAGAAGTTTAATAAAATTTATTACTTATTATGAAGAGATTGGAAGAGAATTGGAATTATGGTTTTAACAATAGTACTTGTAAGATGTTTGCTAATAGGCATATTAGAAGTAGTTTTGTTTGATTGTGATTTTTTTAAAAAATTTTATTAGTTCTTATGGGGACATACTCAGTTTGGGTATTAATTATTCATGAATTTAACCTGAATTATGAAGAATTCTGATTATGAAACTATGGTGAGACAAATTGCATTCTATGAAATTGTATGGATGATAATTATAAATAATAATGTTTAAAGATTTGATTGGGAATGCCTTTGAATTGGTTGAGGAAAAAAAAGGGTGATAGGAGAACTTGGAATTTAGAGTGATTAATTATAGTATGTGTATATATAATATTAATTAAGTTTTGTTGCTTGCACTTGACAAGAGTTGAAAAGAGTTTATCAAACTTGAATATGCCGTTAAATTTTCTTTTTATATTAGATAGGGCATTTAGAGGAAAGAAGGTTTGATTGGGTTCTAGGAAGTGAATTTTAATATTCAGGAACATTTTTGCTAAGTGAATAGCATTCCAACTGCTTTACCATAAAATTAATTGCTAAAATATTATATTTATAGAAATCATTTTAATAACAACTATGTTAAGTATTGAATATTTTGTCATTGAAATTCTTATCTTGGAAAATTATAAAGAGGTGTTGAAAGATAATTGAGTTATGGCATGTGTATGTGTTTTTATTTCTTACAATGAATACTTTCAAAAATTAATGAGATTATTTTTATCAACTCCTGTTATTTTGAGTTATGCAATAAATGCCAAATATGGATTTCAGTTACAAAATTTTATCTTGGCAAGTTTTAATGCTCAAAATTATTCATGCGAGTTTGACTTTGAGAATAGGAATTATATTTTATAACGATGATTTCTTTCACATGTTTGAAAATGAATTGGAGATTTTATACAGGATACTGGTTGGTAACGACAGTTCCGTTAGCCATTGGCGTGCCTTGGTTACTAACTAGTTAGTTTAAATTTTGTGAGCTCTGCTTTCACATTTATTATTCGTTGGTCTCGTATTCGTGTTTGTTTTTGTAGCTTCAAGCCACTTTTGGTTAGCATTACCCTCGTGGATTATGTATCCATGTTTGTTTTATGGCTTCAGCTACGTTTGATTACTTACCTTCATGAACTGTATGTTCATATTTGATTTCGTGGCATAAGCCACACTTAATTATTTACCCTCGTAGATTATGTGTCCACATTTATTACTTGTTCTGATAAATTTCCATAATTATGAGATTTTAATTATTGGATGAATGTGTTTTTTATTGGTTTTGACTAACGACATATTATTATTTTTATGCAATTATTTTCTTTCTTGAAAATAAATGATAATGACGTTTGATATGACACATTAATGAATTAAGATTTTATTTAACATTATATAGAACCCTCTTATGCCAAATTTTATTAAATATTTGGTTGTGAAAATTTTCATATTTAGCACTTATAATATTCTATATTTTTTATGTAAATTTATTTATTTATTGTTGGGATGCTATTCATTGAAAATTTATTTGGTTCCCAAACTAGCTAATCTCACTACTGATCTTTGAAGGGCATACAATTATTTTGGGTGAAATTTTGCTTAGCATTACATCCTTTGATGTAGATATTTGAATTCATGTATTTTATTAGAAGTAAGGTTAGATGCTCCACATAACCTATAGATAGATATCTATTTTGATATATGTTTTTTGCTAGCTGGAAGGAGCTGAGCTTCTGATTGATATTATATTTTATATAAAATATTATGTTATAAAATTTTCAGGATATCCTATTTATAGGGGAAGTTCTGTCAAAATTTCTACAAAAATATTAAAATATTTTATTATAACAATTTTTTTCAATACATTATAATTTCTATTAAAATGGAAAGATTTTTTTTTTTCAATTTAAGGCTTTCAAAAATGTACAATATAGTTTGCACTCGTGTCGATCACCTTATATTTTGAGGCATGACAAAAAATTTGCTAAAGATCATCCATAAACAACTAATTAAATATTCAAATCCATGAAGTTAAGGTACATTATTGATGACCCTAGAAAGGGTAGCCTAATTCATCCTTAATATTTAAAAATAGTGTAATGTCACTTCTCTATTATTATATAGATTGTCAATT